TGACAAGTAGTCAATACATGTAAATAAAATAATATTGATTCGTGAATAGTTGGCTATAAAATTTCTGATCAACTGGTGGGCAATTTGGGCTTCCCAACATTTTTTATAAACATGAACATACCAATCAACTTATTTTAACTTAAACAACTTTAAAATAATTTCACCCAATTTTGGCTCATAACAAAAAACAGTTTGGGCTTATAAAAAAAGTAATTTTGGCTACTAATAAAGAGAGTTTTGGCCAGAAACCTTAATCCCAGTGATAGAAAATTCTTTTATTAGATCTAGTTTTCTTCTTAAGGCATCTACTAGTACTTGTTAATCCACCATCCATTGCTTTAAGTCAAGCCATTAAAATATCTCTTGCTCAGATTTGAAAAGATTCTCTTAATTCTGCAAAATTTTCCTTGAGAGTTCTTGAAGAACAACCACAATTACAACCTTTTTCTAAAAAATTAATTGCCTTTTCATACTAATTAGAACCATTATACTTATTATTACTTTTCATATACCTATAACCCTATATATATATTATTTTATGTTCACTTTGTAGGTTTCTTTGATTATTTTAAAATTGAAGATTTTAAGATTGAATGGAATAGAATTAAATTGTGAAATTGTAATAAAAATTGAAAATAGTTTAAATATGGGAATATAGACATCCTGTACTGTATGATCTACAAAATCGAAAAAATCATTCAGTACACAACACCCTCCACCAATCAAATTTTGAAATACACACCCTACAAAAAGTATCAACTCACTTGATAATCCACCAAAATAATCAAATAAACGGGTAATACAAATACTCATTTTTCTACTAAGCAAATCAATGTTGTGTATTAGTGAGAAAATGTTTGTTGAAATGATTTCCATAACACTCTAAAATATCACATTGACCAATTGTTATTGATAATTTTATGATGTTTAAAATCAAATTAAAATTTTTTGAAAAAGTAGCACTTAGAGCTATTTTAAGATACGATGTTTTAACACATCTTGAGAACTTAGAAAATGTTGTTTCATTTGTTCTCAAATGTATATATATAAATGTTCATAATTATTGATCAAATACTCATGGAGGATTAATACAAAACATAAAAAAAATCACAATGAATTTTTTATGCACAATAATTGTTGTATCTTCATCATTATACTTTGAGATATCAGATACATTTTTTGTATACTCAACTTTTGGCTTACTATGTATGGAAAATTGATCTTTGCATTCACCTTCCAACTCCTTATTTCAAATTTCTGGTCTCCAATACAAAATAGGTGAATTACATAACACTCAAACAAATCCCTTTGCACTGGCCAAATAAGGAACTCTCATAGCTTTATTTTATCCAAACAATCATCCCATGCCTTTCTCTCTAGTTTCTATCTAATACATAGGGAGAGGCCCATTTCACATTTGTAGTGATAATTACAATATGCTTCATCTGGCCATCTATGGATAATCCAATTGCTTATTTAACACATTGTTTTTCATCTTCATCTTATAATTTTATCAGAGTCATTGGTTTCTAAAATAGCAGTTTCAATGCATTCAAAAGCTTTGTTCTCAACTTCTTCACTCTCTGTAGCATTAAGTCTTCCATCTTCTTCAAATCATCTCCAGTAATATCTTTTATTGAGTCCTCAACGTGTTTGAGTATGTATCTAGGCACACCATCTGTTTTGTGTAAAAGACTAGCCACTGTTTCTTCTGGAACCAGTGGAAAAACAAGCCTCTGACAAGATAATAACTCCACTAATGTCATGGATCCATATAATATTTCTTCAAATAATTCTTTCAAATTCCTGAAATTCCTTTGTCCTGATTCCATTTGTGATAGGGAAACTACTGTCTTTGCCTGAACTAATTTTGGAGATATGATACCATCTACCAGATACCATGTTGTAAATTTGTTGAGTCAATATGAGAATTCATAATATTTTCCTCTTGTCTAGAGCTCCGAAACGGGTCGGGTCATGATTTAATTGACCCGGGTTTGACCCGGGTCAACATCATGTTATAATTGCCTTTAAAAGTTCAAA